ACTTAACAACTGCCAGGCACTTACATTCACAAAACCAGTATCCCTGAGGAGAACGTATCTTCAGGAAAACATCTCATAGCACGATTTGACTCATTTTGATGAAGCTCTTTGTTCCTTACGACTGTGAAGTGATTCTTGTCCTTCAAAAAACAAAACAAAAAACCTCCCAAAACCACCTTATCTTTTCCTTCACTCCCTTTGGCTGCCTTTGCTGCTTCATATGGAGTACATATGCTCAGAGGTGCTTATGGATGAGCCTCCCTAAGGACACACTCTGCTCACTTCCTGTAGGAAATGACTGCTTGAAGGAGGAGGCAACTCTGCATCAGGACAGAGCTGGTGTCTGACAGCCTGTGAGTTCCTCTTTCAGCCTAATACCTGGGCTTCACACCAGAAGAACCTTCCTGTGCCTCAGGTGCTGAGGGGAGACTCAGAGGAGAGGAGTTGACTGAGGGCTGCTCTGGGTCCTGCTGAGGAGTTGGAGTCCCAGCCAGGGGAGAGTGGGGGTTGTGTGGAAGTGCACGTGGTGTCAGAGCCCTAGGTTCATTGTTTTCTATCCCAATGTCTCTCCCATCTGGCTTTCTGCATCCTGACTGGGGAAGGAGATATAGAAAGAAATTTTATCTTATCTAATAATATCCTCAATAAAATTATGGAAAAAAAATAAAAATATGATGCTATACACTTGTATTGATACAGATTATTTATCTGTCTTGTGTCTTTGTTGAACAAAGTGCACCAAAGTTCTAAATACTCAATACAGACTCCTCTGATTTTTGTCCTGACAGTAGCTCACCATCATCTTGTGGTTGTATTTCATTCATTTTAACCACATTCACATGCAAACATTGTAAAATATAATTAAGGCTCACACTGGACATTTGCTGTCTCTTGCTGCTTTTTATTAACCAGAGAGTAGAGCTTTTATCTATGCCATTAAACATTTATCAAAAACACCATTTTGGTGGGCCCAGTACCACCTACTTAAATTTTTAATTGGTAGTACATTATTTCAAAGCTCAACTGTCATAAAAAAATGTATTCCCAGGTGGCCTAATTTCTGCTAGTGCGCCAGCCACCCAGGCACACAATGGCCACCCTTTTCATTGGTGCCTTGAACTTCACTTCATAGCTTTTTGATGTAAAAACTGACAAAGACAGTGGGATATCCTTGCTTCTGCATGTCTGAATCCTAGATAGTATATTAGATCTGTGTGTGCTTCCTGCCCTTGCTTCACTTATGTTCTGTCTTAATGATTTTTTCATAAAAGTACAAAGAAAATTACCTTGTTCTCTAAGAGCATATTTACAGCTTTTAGAAGAAATGCAGAAGGTATCTCTTTCTTATCTTACAAAAAGATAGTAAGTGAAAAATGAGTCTCCTTTCCTCCTACCTCACTTCTAATCTGTTATCAGTGATAGTCACTGTTACTGTTTATTGCTGATTTTTTTTCAGAATTTAACTTCTAGCCCTAGAACACATATACATAAAATGCATTAAAATTTTGTTACCTTACCCTCTCATGGATATGCTGTAATTTCTTGACCCATTCTTCTATAGATAGAGCTATAACATATAATCTTTTTTTAGCTTTCATAGAAATAGAGAGGATCTTTGACATAAATTTTAGTTAATGCTTTTGGTTGTTTGTTCTAAATCAATGTTGATGGTGGTATAGGGGAATTAAAGATACCTGGGATCAGTTCATATTCTCTAACACCAAAGATAATTTTAGGAGTAACAGAGGTTAAGAGCATTTTTTTTTTTTTTTTTTTTTCCCAGAACTGGGGATTGAACTTAGGCCCTTGCGCTTGCCAGGGAAGCGTTTATTCTACTGAGCCATCTCCCCGGCCTCCTATAATATATTTTTTGAAGGAAAGAAAGCTTTTGTGTGAGAGAGGGACAGAAGGGGACCCAAGTGGGTTGCCAAGGAATCTACTTTTTAAAGGAATTTTTATAGAATAAAACTATGTGATGAGGTGGGTCCAAAGTGGAAAACATGGGAACTTCCTAGGTGGGCATGAGGTGGGACAAAACTATGGTCAGCCAATAGGACTACAAACACAATTTCTCAGGTAAAATTGATTAAATGTAGGACCAAATGGGGAAGAGAGCCACTTAGCAAGCAGGCATGACTATAGAACAGGGGCTTATCTGGTAGGGGGTTGGGTTAAGTGAGTTGTCTTGGCTTTTTTAAGGGAATAGAGACCTATTTAGAATATCAGTCCCTGATGTTTATCTTTAGGGAGGTATGCATGTGTTTGATCTTTTGTCTTGAGGTCTGGGGAGTGTTGGTCTCTCTCACAGTGGCAACATATCTTGTCTTGCATGCTGGCTCCTTCTGAGGGCCTAGCCCTGTCTGCCTGTAATATATCTAACTCAACTTTCTATAACAATAGCAGATCAAAGGATATGAATGTTTTTAAGTCTATTGGTACATGCATTCTCATGGCTTCCTAACGTACCATTTCTTTCCAGCTGCCCAGAGGACAGTGATGATCAAGAGCAGCAGAATGACACCAAGTTTAGCAAGTCCTAGGACCAGGATTAATGTGTGAAGTCCTAGGAAACTAGAGTTCTGACTAGCAGGGAGGTGGGCTAGTTCCTTGGTGTTGAAGGAATCTGTCAGTAGCACCTTCATAGGAAGAGTCTGATTCCCAGAGCCCCACTGAATTACATGGCTGCCAACATTGGAAAGGTTTCAGATGGGGTTACTCTCTCTTTGGCTGCTGTGCACAGGGTAAAGGTGCCCTGCATGCAAGCCAGGCAGGTCCTGTGTCTGGTGTCAAGGATAATTGAATACGTTGCTCTCACTTCTTAGTAATTTTCAAGATATTATCAGAGTACATTGTTACAGAGGTTCTCCATATTGCTAGGCATTGCTCGGTGTTCTCTACAGACAGTAACTCATTATATCTTTAGGAGAACCTTATGTCACTGTTACACCCATTTTATAGTTGAGGTTACTAGTATACACTTCTTAGAAGAGATTTGCTCAGTGCCACACAGTCAGGAAGAGGTGGGACTGAGCTGCATGGACCCAGGGGCAGGTTCTGTTATCGCTGTATTTTCCTACTCTCAAAGCCAGACCTCTGTTTATTTGCATGTCTACAGACAAAGTTTTTTCAAAATGTACCTTTTTTCCCATCTTTTTACTGGCCTTTTCTCTTTTTGTTGAGAGGTTTATAACAGGGAAGACTTCAAAGTTGGATGAACCTGTGTTCATATTTTCTTCCTGTGTGTATGGTCTTGGACAAGTTATATATATTACCCTCCTGAATAATCTCAAAGTCCTGATTGTTTTTTTTCAAATCAAAGCACTTTTATTATCAATTAACAAGTACTACAATTCCATGTCTGCATTTCATACTCAGTTTTTCAAAGACACTACAAGAAAGGTAAATTAATGCGTTAATTCTACCTACTAATCTTCCAAAACAGATTTTCCACATGGTAAGCCCTGGGAAACTATTTTCTCATATTTTTGACAATTCCCTTCAATTCTTTAGCACCTTTATTAATCAGATATTGGATATTCTGCATGGACTATTACCATTATCTCTTATTTGATTCTTTTTTATTATCCTTTTTTTTGTTTATCCTTTTACTCTGCTTTCTGGAAAGCACTTCAATAACATCTTCTAAACTCTCCTTTGGCCATCACATTTTTTTTTCTTTTCAAAGTTTTATTGATAAACATATAGTAATGAGACAGTTTCAAATCAAATCGAAAGTACAGTTTCAACAAATAATACACTGCATACATTCTTCTCAGTGGTTAATTGCTGTACAAGATGCAGACTTGTGATCCTACTTACAAACACCATTAGAAAAAATCATTCTATTCATTAAGAGAATGCAACTATATATCTATCCCAACCACTTTGAATACACAGATACAAAATGGACATTCATAGTTATACCCCAATTTTTTTTAAGTTCCGTTGTTGAATATTATAGGTGTGTAAACTCAGCAAAATATTCTAAAAGAGTACAGAAGCCCATAATATCATTGGGTCTTCTGTTTAACTGGCAATGTCAGAAATTATTGACCTGAGTTCCCCACATCAAAGTCCTGATTGTTACAAGATGTGAAATTCACATTCTCTCTTCTTCCCGCATCATTAGTGCATTCCCTTCTTTGTTTTACTTGATTCTTCCTAGTTTTCACCCACATTCTTAAAATGCTAACCAATTCAGTTTTAATCACATCAGATAAGGGTGCTCATTCCCTGGATATTAGAATAATATCACTGATTATTGAACATCTACCAGAACTGGACATTTAGTAATCTTTACATAATAATTGCAAATTGAGTCAGTGCTGAGAGTTAATTGCCTTATGGGGGTGGGGAGGAGGCAAGGCTGGGAAGGCAGCTGCTTGCTTGAGGCCATGCCTCCCATTCCCGGGCTGGCCTTCATGCTGACTTCCACAGAATGGGTCAGGACCTCCAAGCAGTACTTGTGGATAACCATCATATCATGTAGGTCAGTTTCTGTCTCCTTGCCATGTTCTTGTGTGTCCGTTCTGAGTCAGGAGAAGCCACATTTGGCCTAAGTTGTTCATATGTTATAGGGGTGAGTGAGCCATTTGGGGTTAGTTGGTGCCTTTGGTTTTTATGTAGTGTGCCTGTCTGTGTATGATGCTCATCATGGTGAAAATGGATATTTTCCCATTGAACATCAGATATCCTGCATCTCAGCTTCTAATTAGGCCGTCACAGATTCAAAATTACATGCCTGTGATTATCTCAATAGGATTAACAGTCCTTTTTTGTAAAGATAATTGAGATCACTCATCATGGCATATTTTTATTTCTGCACCATTGTGGCTAACTATCCCTCCACGAAGTTTCTTATTGTTTTCCTGTAACTTTTTTCACCTCATTCTGAAAGGGCAATGTTAAGAGGTCCTTGAGAAGTAGAAATCATTCATGATTATGCAAACCATGGTAACCATTATGTACTTTCTTTCTTCTTCCCCCTTTCTTGATGGTAGGTGCCTGGAGATTTGAGTCAAACATCCGAAGACCAGAGTTTGTCGGATTTTGAAATGTAAGTCCATGGCATATGGTTTGAGGGGTGTAGGACTCTGCTATTGGCCAGTGTCCCAGAAGTCCTCGGGAGAGAACAAAAATTACCATGAAGTCTTTACAAGGTTGATTTTGTTATAATAGAAATGGGGAGTTATTCTCCTGGGTCCTGCGCTTACTGACCTGTTTTATATTTCCCTTGGATATTTAAAAGCTTTTTGGCTTTGACTGACATTTAAAATTTGGAAGGTATTGCATAAAATTTTAAATTCAAAATTTTCCCTATAAGGCCACAGTTAGTTGAGGGGCAGCTGTCTCTTCACAAGGACCTGTGTTCTACAGATTGCCACAGTCTTTACTGTCCCTTGTAGTCTCACTCAGGCCAACTTCACCCAGTCCATTATCTGTACAGCTTGTGTAGGGATTTGAAGTCATAACCTCAGAGTTAGTGGAAACACCAGTAGTCAGTGCATTACTGTGAGTTTGATCAGCTTTGCCTATTCTTGGTGCCTCTGCTGTTAACCCCTACGGAGGTTGTTGGTCTTCAGACAATTTCTGTGCAGGTTGCTTTGGCTTTTGGAGGAGTAGTACTCCTACGCTGGTATAGAGAGATGAGTCGTGGATGAAGGACCAGGCAGAGAACCTCCTTCCTTACTCATTCAAGATGAGTAAAGAAAGGTCAGCCTCCCATCCCTTACACTCAGGAGTTTGAGGCCAGCCTGGACAACCTACTGAGACCCCCCCCCCCCCCCGCCCCTTCAGACCGACCAACCAACCAACGAACTAAAAAAAAAAATCCCCCAAAATATCCAGCTTCTTAAGAAAAGAGATCATCCAAGAACAGCTGCTTTTCGAGAGTCAAAACATGACAGGGCATTAGAAAGATTTTCTCAGAGCCAAGTTGATGTGCTTTAGAATCTCAGTCACTGGACTTGCACCAGTATGAGGCTGGCCATGCCACTTAGGTTCTCTAGAACCTGGTTTCCTCATTTATAAGGGTAAGGTGGTCCTGATACTAACCTTGCAGGGCTATTGTGGCAGTGTGAGTGAAATTATGAAAAACACAAAGGCATCAAGAGGCCTCTCTGGGTTGGGGCTGCTCTAAAGGCTGGATGACTCTTAGGTGGGAGGGCGAGGAGGTGGCTAAGAGGTGAAGGATGAAAATCACAGGTGAGTTTACCTTTAAGGTGCCTGTGGGCACAAGGACTGTAGCATCTAGAGGCTGTTAGGGTGGTGACCACTTGAGAACACTGGTAGGAGATGTTGGGAGGTGAGGTAGGAGCCATGAGAGAATTCCTTATGAGGCAGGAGAGACTTATTACTGACATAAATTTCCCAGGTACCTGGTAGAGGTCACCTCCTTTCTTTACAGAGATCTGGAACTTCTCACTGGTTTGCTCATTGGTGCTAGAGCCAGAGAGACATGTTGGCACCATTGCCCTCTCTCAAGACAGAGATCAGGGTCTACCCTGGATCCCACAGTGAAGGCCCTTACCCTTTCCTCTTGCCTCCTTGCACACCAGCCACCCTGCATTGTTGTTGCTCACCTAACCCCCACACCCGGCATTTTCTTTATGCCAGGCCTATTCTAACTCTTTTAGTCACCATCACAGCCTTCAAGGTAGATATTGTCTCACAGAGGATAGATTTCACCTGGGATTCACATTCGGGTCATCCTGCTGTAGATGCTATTCTCTTCCCAGATGTTTGATTCCATGGCCAGAGCACTCATGACTCAGATAGATAGCTCTCTTCAGAGCCTGGCCCAAGCACTGCTACCAGGGAAGCCTGGGCCGACAGCATGCTTGCTTGGGATTTACTTTCCTTAGATCTGGATTCCTAGGTGACACCTAAAACAATGATAATTAAATAATTTCTGTGTAACAGCTTTTTACATATGTATGCATTTTTCAGAGCCTGAAAACATGTGATAATTGACAGAAATGAAGATGGAAATAGTTCAATAATAGTTGTAAACTTTAGTCCCCAATTTTTAATAATAGAACTTTTAAAAATAGATAAAAATCAGTAAGAAATAAGACTTGAACAACACTGTAAACCAGTTAGACATAACAGATGTTTATATAGCTCTCCACACATTACTGCAGAGTACATACCTGTATTATTCAGCTTTCTGGCAGTGTAACAAAATAACAGTCTACTTGGTGGCACAAGCCTGCAATCCCACTATTTGGGAGACTGAGACAGGAGGATCACAAGTTTGAAGCCTGCCTGGATTACATAGTAAGGTTGAGGGAGGGAGAAAATGTTTATTTTGGCTCATAGTTGAGTTTTAGTCCATAGTTGGATGGACCTTTTGCTTTTAGGTCTGTGTGAGGCAGCAAATTCTGATGAGGATCCTGTGGTAGTGAGAAAGCAGCCCACCTCATGGCATCTGGAAAGTGGAGACAGTGTGAAAGAGACCATGATTGCAAGCTCTCCTTTGCGTATATGCCCCCAGTGACCTAAAACTTCCCACTGGGTCCTACCTCTTAGAAGTTCTCACTGCATCCCAACAGTGCCATGCTGGGTAATGAGCCTTTAACACATAGACTTTGGGGGAACATTCTAGATCCAGATTATAGCAACATTTCTCTCAAGTGTCCATGTCATTCTCCAGAATAGACTATATGTCGGGCCACAAAACATGTCTCAGTATATTTTTAAAAATTGAAGTCACATTAAACATCTTCTTTGACCATAGTGGCTTATATGGAGATTTGTCTCGCTTCCATGTTATACTGTATGTTCCTAAAGGAAGAAGTTGTGTCTGCCTTTTCTTTCTTCTCTGTCTCTGGTACCTAAAACTATGGATGGCATATTGTAGGCTCTGAATAGATTCCTATTTAACAAACAAAAGAATTCACAAAGTAATGAACATATAGGGGGCATATAGATGGTCATGGGAGCAGTCGCTTCTAATACAGTGTGTAGTAAATGCCCTGAAAGAAATCTGATATCTCATTGTGTCCCTGGGTGTTCATCTGGATCTTACCAATCACAGAATGGACTGAAAACCAGAGTGTTGCATTTCTGCATCCCCTACCCTTAGGACAGAGAAGCAAATGGTGAATCCCATAGACCAGTGGCGGCAAAACTGTGACACATGTGCCACAGTGGGCTGCTTGTTATCGTTGAAAGTGCTAAAAGGTTCACCATCACTGCTGTAAATACTAGTAGTGTTTTGGGAACCTTTATAGCGAAATGTCATTGCCTCTAGATACAAATAAGTTTGTAAGTTTGGTGGCTCACAATTTCAGTATGTGTTTTCAGCCCTGGACACATGATCAGTAGGGCTTATTTTGCTCCCCAAAGGAAGTTACCACCTCTGCCCAGGGTTTAGCAGAAAGTTTCAGGAGGCAACTTGGACCTGAAGGGTTATTTTCCTGTGAAAATAAAATGCTTTTTACCATCTAAGTTATGAGAATAGTAATTCATAGAATCTTCCATCGTTTCCATCACCAGTGGTGTTCCAATCCTAGCACAGCTCCAGCTGAGGCCCAGGTTTCCTAGGACATGCAGCCTGCTTAGATAGCTGTTATGACACTCCTCAAAGGTTTAGCAATGGTCATAGTTTTAGCTTTGCATGACCAAGATCATGCAAATGTGGCTGTTAATGGTGATGATAGTAATAGTGATAGTGGTAGTCATGGTGTTTGTGGGATGTAGTGTTGTGTGTGTGTATGTGTGGTGAGTTATAACTTAAATTTTGAATCATCCCACGAGGCAAAACTGTCACATAACCTAAGTGACTATTACATATACATGAAATAGCCCATATGAGGAATTAAATGAATTAATATAGGTAAAAATATTGAGTCATGCATTGTAGGTATTCAGTAAATGATTTTACATTTTGCTTGTAATTTTTTTGGTGCTGGGAATCAAACCCAGGGCCTTGTATATGCTAGACAAGTGATCTATCACTGAGCTACATCGCTAGTCCTTGTATTCTAATTTAAATCTTAGTTTATGAGATCTACCTACATATTATTTTTGGGTAAGTCCAAAGAGGGGTATTTGAAGCTGTTGTCCTGGTTTTGCAACTTCTTATTTTCCATTGCTCTTCCCTCCCTAAGTCCCAAACAGCTGTCACTCTCATAGTCCTGGCCATTGGTCTCCTGCGCTCTATTGTGGAGTCATCTTGAAAATGGGGCCTGTGTGTGAAGTCAGTGCAGTGAGGAGGCAGTGTGGACATTTCCTGTGTGCTCCAGAAACTGTGTACTATGTACCACCTCCCATAGCTCCCACCATTGTTCATCCTCGGAGGTGGAAACTGAGCTTCACATGCATCATAGGTCAGGTCACTGACCAGGTAAAAACTGAAAGGTAGCTCCTTCTGTCTGTGCCACAGTGACTGTGCCTGCCTCACTAACAGTGTGGTTTTATGCAGAGGAAAGTGTGAGTGAAGGACCAGTTGCTCAGGGAAAAAAAAACAAAAACAAAAACAAAAAAAACCTGAAAGGCAGTTCTTTCTCATTTCAGAGTATATACTGCATATTTAAATGATACATATTTTAGACTAAATCCCTTAAACGTTGTCTTGGAGGCTGCATGCTGCGACTTAAACTTGTCCTTTAGCTCACTATTAAGTGTGATGCAGGGTGTATAGATTGCTCATGCAGAATGCTTCTTAGAGGAGAAAATTCTGTAATAAGTGTTTATTTGATTTTGTTTTATTTATAAGTGAAAATGACTGATTGTTTTCTTTTGGTAGATCAAACAGGGCGCTGATCAACGTCTGGATCCCATCAGTGTTTCTCCGTGGCAAAGCAGCAAATGCGTTCCATGTTTATCAGGTAAGCACCTGGTTTTCAGATACACATTGCAGCTGGGTGTGGGGTGCTCATTTGTTACGTCATGTGCTCTGCCCTTTTTGGTGGGGCACTGTACCTCTGCAGGAGGCTGCAGCTTTCCTAACACCAGCATTTTAACTACCTTTCTCAAGGAAGGTGTGTGTGGCCTTCAATCTGACAGGAGGAACAAGGAAGTGGGTAGAATTGCCTTGTGCCAGCCATCTCTCTTGGTGTGGCCACAGCACAGATTGCTTGAGCATAGATGGAAATTTGTTGGCTGTGTTGCAACTGGGAATCTGGGGGAGGTTGAACCTCACACATTCTCATCCTGGTCAGGGACCTGCTACCGTCTCCTTTCTGCTGCCGTCTCCTCTTCCTGCTTCTCTGCATCCTTTTTGGACTATTTAGGGGTTCCCGTCAGTGCTAGCCTCCCAGTTTCAGTGACATCTTGAGCCATGCCTCACTAGTTTGTCTTGGCTTGCAAGCTTGTTCCTGAACCTTGAGATTGAATGACAGACTTTTGTGACTGGCCTACCCAATTCACATATTGGAATTGGTGCTGACTTCACCTGACCATATGTCTGAATAGTAAGAGGGAATGTCCCAGATGACACTCACGCCACTCTTTCAAAAGAAAGGGCAGAGGATGTACTTGAAAATTTAAGACTACAGGTGTTTCCTTTGCTTCCTTGTGGTAGAGGTGGATGTCCCTACTTGGGACTTTGTAACCTTTGCTTTCTTTGGAGGTGATTTTCCAACAAGAATTACAGGTTTTCTTCTCTCATTTTCTGATTCTTTTTTCAGCTCTGCCTAGTTCTCTTCTGATCTTTCTCTTTATTTACCATGGATTTTGATTGTGAACTTCATGTTTCTTGTTCTGGAATTGTACATTTCAGCATGAACTCTGAGCTGCTTCCTGCTTCCACTCTTCTTTGAATCACAGTAGTTTTCATTAAATTTAGTTTCGACCTCCACAAACTGTTAAAAACCCATTTTCTTGCTATTTTTCTTAGTAGGAGTGACCCACTATAGAACGTTCTCAGCTTGAAGACATTCTTCCTAGAGAATGGAGTGGTGAAAAAAGACACTGACACTGAGCTTTGTTTTCAGTCATGTAACCTTAGATCAATCTAGTTTCTTCATCTGTAAAGTGAAAATAATGCATAACTTATAAAACTGTAATAAGTATCTTACACAACAGCAGTGAAATTAAAAATGTGTTGCACATAGTAGACACTCATTTCTAGCCTTTGCAGATGATCACAATTTGACATAATTCCTATTTGGTTTTAGATTTAAGCATAATGTCTGTACTGTACTTAAGATCTTATCAATGGCTGCGTTAGAGTCTGATGTAAGAAAGTCATTTTACTTGACACAATCAGACAGACAATAGTAGTACTTTAATAAGTGTTAGTAGAACCTGAGTTCTCAACTGTAGTTTTAAAAGAGAATTAGGTATGTCAGATCCCCATATCAAAACTTTCTCTTTTCATCCCAGGCCAGCCAAAAGAAATAAAACAACCCAAACAAAGAACTCATTGAGTGCTCCTTAAATTATTCTTTGTGGTCATCAGAAAAGCTGGGAGGCTGCCTGGAAGATGAAAAAAGAGAAGCAGGCAACTTTAGAGCAAAATTAAAATGTGATAACATGGAGAGAATTTCTTGACTTTTCAGTATTGACCTCCTCCTTCACCTCATGAAGCAGTTGGGCAATTTTTAGTTTCTGAAAGTCACCTCTGAAGTGAGATGGACACAGAAAACATGCTGTTGCCTGAGAGACAGTTTCCATGGTGGCCACAGTGGCATTAAAGCCACTGTCGTCTTGCCTTTCACTGCTTTCAGAGCTTTCCCAGGCTGTCCCCAGCCAGTGTACCCAGGATGTGGCCCAGCCTTTAGCAGCCACCTCACCTGCCAGAACTTCTGCTCACACCACAGACCTTCTGAGTCTTTCCCTGTGCTGCCGTGTGCAGAGTCACCACTTGCATGGTTGTTTTTCTCTTTTAGCTAACAGTGCTTCTTTTTGGTTCCTTCAGGCCAAAGTCTCAGTCCTGTGTTTAGAAGCATTTTAGGGTGGCTTTGATGCAGTGTTTTCTTATATAACTGATATTGGATAGAAGGTGACTCATTTAAATACTGGTACCATTGGGCGTTTTTAAAAGGATTTTAAAAAATGTCTGCTGTCTACTTCCACAAGATTTGACATAATTCCTAAAGAAATGCATGGAAAAGAATGATAAAAGAAATCAGTCATAAAATATAAACTAAAAGTTTGAAAGTAAAATTTAGAAACCATATTTGTCATGCAATAAAATGTGGTGGTTTTTATTTACTTGTGAACTTCCTAAGGGCTTTCTTGCAGCCAGTTTGAAAATAAAAATGTTATTATCTTTGGATAATTTCATTATTAATGACAAGAAAAGATGTTAATTCCTCAAAAAGAGCTCTGAAAGAAATCTCCACATAGAATTTTATCTTAGCAATAATAAAGGATGTCTATAGTCCTTATTTACATCTCCCTGTCAAATTATTACCCAAGTTTTAAAAATCTTCATGGAGAAAAGCCAAGGGCATAACTCCAAAAGGCACAGCAATTTGTGTGAAGAGCCCAGACTTGGAGCTTTCTCAGGAGAGCTTTGCTGTCCAGCCCCACAGCCACTAGCCACACGGCCAAACACAGATAACTTTATTTATTTGTTTGTTTGTTTGTTTGTTTGTTTGTTTGTATAGTGTTTTAGTGAAGGGTCTACAAGGTGTTCAGGGTCTCACTACTAGATCGGACTCATAGTGATCTACCTGTTTACAGCCTCTCAAGTGCTGGGATTACAGGCTTGTGCCACCACGCTCGTGCCACCACAGGGGCAGGGCCGGCATGGCAGGCCCAGGGATTGAACTCCTGGCCCCTGCACCTGTTTACAGGTGCTTTAATCCACTGAGCTATTTGGCTGGCCCTAGATACTTAAATTTAAATTAATTAAAATTGAATAAGATGAAAATTCAGTTCCTTGGTCACACTAGCCACATTTCAGGTGCTTAACAGCTGTGTGGGCTGGTGATGGCCATGTTGGATGGTAAGAACTCCACTGCCTCTGCTTCGCAGAGGTTCTGTAAGGCAGTGCTGCTAAGAACTAGGCAGACCTGCAGGGAGAGAATCCTCCTTTCCTCCTCTTACCTGGAGGTGAGGACTCAGCCTCACACCCTCTAATCTTTCCTTTTTGGGAAGAAACTCAGGCAGGCTGAGAATCATCTTTGACCAGAAACAGGCTTCAGTTTAAACTGTTTTGTGTTCATTATACTTATTTTTACATTTGCCTTCTGGTTATGACATTCTATGTTCCAATTTACCCCTTTTAAAATAAATTTAAAACTAAAAGGAAATGAGTCAGCCTAAAGAAAAATACAAAATAAACAATGAAAACTGCAAAGAATTGAGGATGTTGAGCTATGGAGAACACTGATATAAAGGAGTGAATATACAGTGACTAAAAAATAATAATAAATGATTATAAGGTACAGCTGCCTCTTACTGATTTGAATGTGTTATATAAAATATCCATCTCTGGAAGCAACTGTGTGAGGTGAGAAACTCATTCCCATTTTATGGATGAGGAAACAAAGAGAAAAAGAAGCGTCTCATTCAGTGTCATGTGTTTTTAGTGATTTCTGACCAATTTTCAGAAATTCTGTGTTACTGAGTGAAAGTAGAGTCAAGCTCTTTGACAATCCTGGAAACAGATGAGATGGTTCCCCTTATTGTGAAGATAAAGGTTCACCCTGATGGCCATCTGCATTCCCAAGATGGTGAGCCATGGCTTAACCTGTGGCCATGCCTGGAACCCTCTGTAGGGCAGCGCTGGGGGCCTCTGCCATGCACAAACATGTTACACATCAAGCCATCCAGCTCCAAGGACTAATCTGAAATACTTTTGGCTTGGAAAGTTGTCAAAGCAGGTGTGGCCCCATGGTGAGTGGCTGGCTATAGGAGGGCTCTTTTGCTCCTTCAGGGCACCTTGTCTGAGCAGTGTCATGTCCTGAAAGCTTGTATGCAGGGATTGTGAGAAGGTTGTTCTCCTTTACAGATCTGAAAGACTGTAGGAGAATTTGCCCATAACATTGGTAATTACTTGGGTTGTGAGAAAAGTCTGGAATTGCATTCAGCCAAAAAGAACTTTAATTAAAGAAATGCTGTTTACTGACCAGATTGAATAAATGCTGTTTAGAAATGCTTGTATTCCTGTGTCCTCAAAAGAGACAAGGTGTGTCCCATTCATGCTGAAAGGAAAAGGTGGCAATATTTGATCTGTTTTCAATACAAATATAGCATTGATATCCAGAATCTTTCCAATGTAAATTTTAAATTATTTCCTAGGCCTTTGAGCTGCTGTTTGGTTTCCACCCAGTACTGGTCAGAGATAAAATCAAGAAGCAGCAGCAAAAACAATGGGAAATGGAACAAAATTAAGTTCTTTACTTTATTGCTCAGGTTTTCTGTTTCTCTTGTAATACATAGAAACAGATTTTCTATCACTTCCAGACAAACGTAATTAAAATTTCTGTTTATCAATAAATTTCTAGCTTATACCACTAGAAATAGTTGATGTTTTCTCCAAATACCCCACTTCCAAACAAAGTTGAGCTCTGTGTTGATATCTAACTAAAGTTTTATAGCAGTATCTTAGACTTTAAAAACAGTCCACATACTTTCTTTAGCAAATGTTATAGCCACTAAATTGGTACAAAATAATACCTCAACACATTTATTTATTGAGCCATTTGGTCTATCCCTTTAAGAAATACCTTTGATGTAGTTACAGTGGGATTAATTTCCACCTTTACATTTGACCACCAGATGACTGGCTCTGGACAGTATCCATTTGCATAAACTGATTAGGTTTCCCTTATAAAGCTTTCTTTGTTTCTACAAAGCCTTTTCCTCTTAGAATAAGTTCTTTGTTGCCCCTGCCATACAAAATTGTGTAGCCTGAGCAACTGCTTTAAAGGTT